TCAAGCCTATACGCGTAAGTGAAATCAACACCATATCATCTGCATATATTCTAATTTCATAGGGCTCCAGCTCTGAGTTCCAGTAACCCAACCCTTTTTTAATCTAGCTGGATGTACTTTAGGCACTTCCTATTGGTTTGAGGAAAAAAGGTATTCTCATTCTCAATAACATTTTAAGCACAGCTTGGAAACATTGGTTTCAGCGCCAATGCATTAATACTAAATTATTGCACCATTAGAAGATATAGATGAAATTAATTCATTTGTTTATTAAACAATACCCTCTCTCACACATGCATATCCTACCTTTCTTCTGATATAGGGACTCAAGCTGGCTTAAAGATGATTTAAATTCATGAAAATGATCATAATTAAATAAGTATTAGGCAAAAGTAATAGTTACTCAAAATCAATGTCATACTATCATACTTTGGCCACATCATGAGAAGGCATGACTTATTAGAAAAGACAATAATGCTAGGAAAGATGGAGGGATGTAGAAAAAGAGGAAGACTAGATGGATTGACTCTGTTAGGGGAGTCACAAGTATGAATGTACAGGACTTAAGCATTTCTCATCCATAGGGTCACCATGAGTAGGGATCAACTCAAGGGTAGTTAACAGCAAAAACAAACCTGCATAACTTCTGTTCTATGCTGTTCCTATGGAACCTCTGGATTTTGTATATAGTTCCAGCCAATAGAGCTTGGTCTTACTATTAGGCATAGTGAAGAAGCTGCCTCGGGCAGTAGATGCTAGATGACAGCAATGACAGTGTGCTATTTATTGCACCAGAATAATTATGCTGCACAACATTTTTGCAACCCTAAGCTAGCCTGCTGCTTTTTGGATTGTTGGAGGGCATGATGTCTTTGCCAGTATTAAAAGTAATTTTATTAAAAGTAATATCTAATGTATCTGGTTCATAGCCTACATTTGGCTTGTTGTATGCTTTGTCTAATAGTTACAGATCACAGTATTATAGCCAATACCTAATGCTAAATTAAGATAATAAATTATTTCCAGTAACTTAACAATCTTATTTCTGACTCATATTTAAGTGTTATAAACAGTCATAGATTTATCTACTTTTGCAATCTTCGGATTCAGCACAATATCTGACAGCCCAATAAGTTTGCCTTAAATCAGCATACATACTGGTGATCTATCAGATATTTGAATAATCCTAATTTTTTCAGTCTATGGTAGGCAAAAAATGCTGGGGGGGCATTGCTTTCTTTTGTAGTACAAGATGCATTCAGCGGGAGGTGTTTTCAAAACACGTATGTCTGACTCAGATCTATCAAAGTAGTGCTTTTCTTTGAGTTGCATTGTTTTGCATCTTTTTCTTTCATTATCATTCCTACTTGGTAAATTTGCATTTATTGTTATTTATTGTTTGTTTTCAGTTTGACATTTCAATTATCACCTTCCCTACTGAACCACGTCCAAGCTTCTTTGCATTTTTTCTTCCTGCTGTTCTAACATCCAACTAAATTCATTTCATTTTTTGCTTTTAGCTTTCTTCCTCAGTTTATTGAGAGTAACATAAAGGGCCTTTACAGACTGCCAGAAATAATGCAGCTTGAGGCCACTTTAACTGTCCTGGCTCAGTGCTAGCGAAACATGGGAACTGTATTTTTTCTGGGACATTGAACATTCTCTGTCAGAGAACTCTGTTGCCACAATAAACTACAGTTCCCATGATTCCCTAGCACTGAGCCAGGGCAGTTAAAGTGGCCTCAAGCTCTAAAAGGGTATAACAGAATTAAGTGAACAGATTGATAAGTGGTAAAGTTACACTAAAGGAAATACCGAAAAGAAGAAATTACTAAAGAAGAGAGCAAAGATAAAGAATTCCCATAGTATAAAAGATATAATAGAGAAGATAAATATAAAATAGGGAAATTTTTGTTTTTGTGTTTTATGTCTTAGAGTATGTAGTTTGAAAGGAATTGGTGGTAGATATTATATTGGATTTTTTGCAAATATGAAATTATATGATATCACTAGTTTTTCTTTTAGTATTAGTATGTTGGGTAGATGGATGGAGGAATGGAAGTGTTATGTATATATGTTTGGATTGTTGATTTACAATGTTTTGTATTTATATGTTTCATAAATAAAGGGGGGGGAGATAAAGTGGCCTCAAGCTGCATTATTTCCGGCAGTCTATAAAGGCCCTAAGTCTCCTGTCTCCTGGGTGGCTCCATGCCAGTTTCAGGTATGGAATGGTTAATTGTCTTTTTTCAGCAATCTCAGTAGCTCTCTTCAGGTGAGTCTGCATCAAATGGATGAAATCAGCTTTCCAGAAAACCCCAATTAGCCCTACACCATAGTTCAAATGTAGGTTTGAGATCTCCTTTTTGTAGCCCTAGGCATCCCCAAATCACCAACTTTTAATTTTAGAAAAAATCCTGCTGATTTGGAGATTATTCTTCACCTGAACACTGGCCAAAACAACCCAAAAATGGTCACAAATGTGGTGGTTTGCATTTTTCAACCACATTGCAGAAATAATTCAGTTTGAGACCATTTTAATTGCCCTAGCTCAATGCTTGGGAATTCTGGAAACTGTAGTTTTGTGAGACATTTAGCCTTCTCTGTCAGAGAGCTCTGGTGCCAAAACAAACTAGTTTCCAGAATTACCTAGCACTGAGCCAGGGCAGATAAAATGGTCTCAAACTGGTTTATTTCTGCAGTGTGTTTTGGCCCTTGAGTTTCCCAAAATCATTGTAAAAGTTAAAGGATAGCCAAAAACAATCCAGAATTGTGGCCAGGTCTGATACACCCAAAAGGCAATTGTGGGGTTTTTGAGGAGTAGAGGTGAAAATTGGCCCCTGCCTCCTCCACAGTTACCTATATGTGCCCTTGGATATAGATGTGCAATGGATACAAACCCTGGCAACATGATTAGCCTCAGTCTGAAGGGATGAAGATCACACAAGCATACAGATGTATACCAGTAGGGCTCTTTGCCAGGATTAGTATCCTTGGTTGACTAGACGTCCTGTAGCTGCCAAGTCAGCCATGCCCAACTTTGGTTTTTTTTTTTAATTAAAAAACAGACCTACTCTAAGTGATCATTGGAATGAAGAATATGTTCAAGTAACTTAACAATCTCATTTCTGACTCATATTTAAGTGCACTAAATAGTTATAGATGTATGTACTTGTGTATTCTGGAATGCCATCTACTCTCAGTCTTGTGAAAATAGGACACTGTCACATGGATTAGAAAAGTACAAAAATGCCTGTCTGGATTCCTAACAAAACCATGCACAGAGACAGTGGACAGCTAATGGGTGCCCATCACAAATACGTTCCTCTAAAATTCAATTGGTCAAGGAGAGTGAAAACTGAAACCTTCACAGGATTACTGCAAAGCTCTGATATACTTTCTTTCTTTCTTTAAAAAGAAAGAATTAAAATTAATTAAAATAAGAGGAGGTGTGTCTATCCTTAAGGGCATATCTCTGTACAGTCTATTTTTAATACTTTATCAAAGTGAATGACAAGATATTTTCATTTATGCATCCTGTTCTCATTAATATAATTAATACAGTGCACATGTTGGCACCCTATAGTCACCAACAGTGGGGGAAAATTCTGGCTCACGTTGCAACAGCCTCCCTTAGAAAATGATGATACATGGAGATAGAAGAGCTTTACAAGAGATACATAAGAGGTTTGTTGTCCCTTAGGAACATTTAACTTTTTTCCTATCCAAAGAATATCTCCATTGATAGGGAAAAGAGCATCATATGTTCACTACTGCACTCTCTCCCCCACAAAGTGTTCTTACTGAGAGGTAACTGGAACTATCAGCCTGTAGGACAAATGGCATATATGGCTAGTACTGATAGTAAATTGGGTAAAAAGCATTTAAAAAAATCAGGGCATAAATAAATATACAAGTAATAAACAGATATTAGAAAGTGATCATAAATTTGTCAATCTATAGCCCATATACAAAAAAAAATGTATAGTCTAAACAATTTACTGTGAATTTACTATTGGACCCAAATTTATAACTGAAGGAAGATTAATGAACAAGCTGTCAATGAAAGAAGAGTAAACACATTCCAATCTTCTTGTCCTCTTCAGTGGCCAATATTGAAGTTCTTATAATCTTCCAGTTCTTCCTATTTTACTAAGTCATGCACCTTGATGTAATATTCCTCACAGAATAAGAAGTATGTCTCTTGCCTTCATTACCCACAGCTTTCACTTTGTTGTGTGCCTTCAAGTCATTTCCTACTTATGGTGACCCTAAAGCAAACCTATTATTGGGGTTTTTTGACAAGATTTGTTCAGAGGAGGTTAACTAGTTAACTTCCTCTGAACAAATATTGTTCTTTCTTTCTTTCTTTAAAAAGAAAAAGTTCCTCTGGGACTGAGAGAGTGTGACTTGGGTTTCATGGCCAAACAGGTAATTGAACCCTGGTCTCCAGATTCACAGTACAACACTCAAACCACTACGCCACAGCCTTCACTACTCACAGAACCCTTTACATCTTTAGTTGCTACTCTGTGTGTCCATTTCTCTTCAAAAGTACATCAAGTAATGTACATGAGTCTATGAGTTATATCCTCAAGCCAATAGTGTTACTTCTACATGGTCATGGATATGATATAAAGGTTCAATTCCTTTCTTCTGAACGAGCTTGGAAATTGATAATTTCCTTATAGATTGAAAAAACTTTGATGTGATAGTATTCATTGGCTTAGTAATATAATGTTGAAATACTGAAAGTATTGAAGGGAAACCATTCTCTTGATCAGATCCTGATGTTCTGATGGCCAACGTCCCCTTCACTGGGATAGACATCTCTTAGAAATATTCACCAGTGGCCCATGGAGAACAATCAGGTACCCAGAATAAATGCATCATTTATTTACTTACTTTTTTATTTAAAATGTTTATATTTTACCCAAATAACACATACCTGCAGCACAGTTCCTTGTTGCTAATGCCAAAACCAACCTAAGGCTTTCTGGCTTAGCTGTATGTGAAAACGTTTTGTCAAAGTTCTCAAACTTTTGCTGTGCAAAACCTTTTGTCACCAATATGGCCTTGTATCTATGAGTACCATCTGGCATTTCCTTTCTTTTGAAAACCCATCTACAACCTATCACCTTGTGGTTTTTAGGCCTCTCAACAACTTCAAAAACTCCCTTTTCTAGCAGTGACAATTACTCTTGATTCTTAGCAGAAAACCACTTTTCCTTCTCCTCTTCAGGATAACTCTGCAGATCCTTAAAACTCTCGGGCCCTTGCACTCTGCACTATAAAATGTTCTGGAGGTCTTCTCACTCTCACTCTTTGAGTCCTCCTGGGTATGATCACCTTTGTTCTACCTCTTTCATCCTCACTCTCAGAACTAGTTTGAACCTTTGTATCTCTCATTTGCACTGGCTCGAATTTGCTAGCTGTGATAGGTGAATGAAGTGTTGGTTGTGTCTGTGTAGAGTGTACTGAAATACTAGGCTCACTCTCTGGTGATGCTTCTTGTTTTATCACCCCTCCATTTCCAGCACTTATTTCCTTTTGTCCCAATCTGAGAAAAACCTCTTTGTTGGAATGCAGCCTTTCCCAACCTGAAAGTTGGCACTTCTGGATAGCAAGATCTCCTCATGACCAAGATGAAATCTGTAGCTATTCCCAGAATACCCTACAAACATTAACCTGTGCATTGTGCATGCTTTTATTATATATAGCCCTCTCTCCACTCCATCCAACGTCATCTGGGGGAGAGATGCAGGCCCATTTCCATCGGGCCTATCCTAAGTGGGAGGGAAAATGTTGTTTTATGTTATATGTAATTTTTATGCTGTAAACCACCCGGATTGGACTACCAATGGGCGGTATAAAAATAAAATGTATTATTATTATTATTATTATTATTATATTTAGGATCACCCTTTTTTCTGAAACTAGCAGGTGCATACACATTTACATACTGCCCAAACACTCTCAGGTACTTCAAGTTAGGTGGTCTACCATTAAAGTATATGAAATGGGTCTTCTTTATAGCAGAATTCCACAAATGATTGGCAATGTGATTTCCTGTCAGAATGGCTTCTTCCAAAAGCTGCTCAGGTGCTTCTGCATCTAACATCATGCAGTCTTTCATCTGCTTTAACACACCTATATGTTTTTCTGCCAACCCATCCTCCTGTGGAACTGCACGGTTTGTGGTGTTGTGACATATTTCCTTCTTTCTCAACCAATTTTTCAAATTGTTTGACAAAAAATTCTTCTTGCATTTGTTCTTGTAGTATTTTCTTTAATCTCTTTGCCAGAATCGTTGCAAATAATTTATAATCATTGTTGAGCAAGGAAATAGGTCTATAACTTTGTGGCAAAGATGGTTCTTTACCCATCTTAGGTATAAGCACAATATTGGCTTTTGTCCAAGAGTCCCGTATTCCTTCATGTTGGATTTCATTAAACAATGCATGCAGAGGTGTACTTATCTCATTTATCAGAGTTTTATAATAAATAGCCATTATACCATCTGACCCTGGTGCTTTTCCTTGTTTCAGTTCTTTTATAACCTCTATCACCTCCATCATTGATGTTCATGCATTTAAATATGTTTTTTGTTCCTTATTTAATCTTTCTGGTACATTTTGTTCCTTTTCAATGCTTTTGCACAAACCTGATCATTCATGGTAATTACACACTCATCCCCCTTAAAATTCAATGCATACACATCAGTGGTCAAAGCAGACACACCAACTAAACAGTTTTGCAATTTAGGTACACACAATACATTATCAAAGTCATTAGCAAAATCTGGGATAAACACAGTTCCCATGTCCTTTATCTCCCTTGGTGCACCATCAGCCAAAGCAATTGAAGGCACATTGGAAGACTGCTTACTCTTCAGGAGCTTAGGTGTGTTTACCATATGTCCTCTGGATCCTGAATCAAGAATCCAAACTGGATTAGGCTTGACATCTTGGCAAGTAACACAGTCACTGCCTTTTGCCACAGCCACACCTCTCCTAGTCCCAGAGTCTTTGGGCTGTTGTTTCTTAGCTGCTGCAAGTTTTCTACAGTCCTTCTTCAGAGGACCAGGCTTTCCACAATGAAAACACTTTCTTTCTCTGGACACTGCTGCCTTTTCTGATTGCAGTTCCCTGGAAGCCTCTGATGTGTATTTAGATCTTGGCATCGCTTGCTGCTGCCTCTGGAGCCCTGCCTCATACTGCCTCTGGAGCCCTGCCTCATACTGGAGCCCTGCCTCATACTGCTCACTTCCAAAACCTGTGCAGCTACCAACTCCATAGTAATCTACCCCTCAGGAACTCCTTGGAGACTGAACAACTCCCTAGCAATATGTATGCTTTTTGTTCTCTTGGGATCTCAACTTGATTGAGATCTCATCTGGACTTGATTGAACAAATCTTGGATGATTTTCAGATGCTTTTCTGCAGATTGTCCCTGCTGCATTTTGCAAGCATCATC